TCATGGTACCTCTCAGGCAAATTCCAGACTTACACCAATTGTGCCAGCCAGGTTCCCTTGAGATTTTTCAATCCTGTACAAAAGGTGTCTCTTACTCTTTTTTCATACAGATAGTATCTGTTATTAAATCTATTAATACTATCATTTAAAAATGTAATTATTGTAAAGGTTTTTTATATAATATGTTTAGCATCAGGAAGTATCCACCCCAAACAAAGCAGCTACTATTTTTTATCTTTAGGGATCTATCCTCTTAAGCACTGCCATGCGACATGCATGTCTTAGAGGATTTATTTAAGCATAACAGTTGCTTGCGAGAAGCACAACAATTTAGGGCAGTCAAAATAATACTATGCAGAATGTTATAATTATACTTAATAGAGATCCATCCAAGAATGGGAGTTATCTCTGTCAATTAACCAAGTAAGCTAATTCCTCTACAGATAAACATTTGATTGTAATATCAAATTCTATAGGGATTGGGAGAACATTGTTTAACAAACATTTAGAATAGAAGGGAGCAGTTGCGGCTCAAAAAAGAGAAAATGGGAAAATATAGAAAAATATCCAATTTTTAACATCAGGAAATATGGTAGACAAAAATCCAATTTTTTAACATTAGAAAACATTCTTATCTTACAGAATAGGTGAGAGGAAGCTCACATACTTGTCTGCTATAGAAGCCATCTTTTACATACTTAAAGAGGTATACATATATATGTTTCCATTCACACGTATGTTATTTTTGCTTTGGACAATCATTTACTATTGTATTATTTTACCTGTACACAAATATATCAATCTGCAATCACTCATTTCCAGGGTTTTCCAAGTACATTAAAATAAAGACTTACATTTGGATTGCAGCAGTACTAAAAGATGTAGATTCTTTGTATTCTGTACTAAGGCCGAATTTAGACTATCAAATAGAACACCAGAACCTGTTTAAACTCTACACCGACAACACTAAGAGTCAACGTTTACTTAACTTTAGATTGTCCATTAAAATGTAAGCTATATTGAAACTCCAACAATGAAAATACTATATAGCTATCTTTCCTGGATAACCTTATCTCTATTCCTGGATTCTTGTTGGGTGATTGATTGGATTTATGAGTCACATGCCTAATCTCTTCAGCAAAATGTGTCTAACCCATCCTTGATATTCTCTTCAGAGCATGCTTTCCCATCTTCTGCAATAGAATAGGCTAAGAATTTTCCAGATCATCAAGTCTGATTTTTTGTTTGTTTGTTTGTTTGTTTGTTTATCAGTTTCTTTCTCAATGTATTTCTTCCATCTTACATTTTCCTATAAGCTTCAAGGAGAAACCAGGGCATACCTTTTCTATTTCGCTTGGAAATCTCCTGATGTAATTATCTAAGTTCATTGTTTACAAGTTCTAATCTCTACCGAACACTAGAACACAATTCAACCAAATTTTCTACACTTTATAACAAGGATTGTTTTCCCTCCTATGTCCAATAACATGACCCTCTTTGCTCTCTGAATCCTTGACAGATACACTTTAAACTTTAGTATTTACACCAACAGTCTTTTCCAGAGAATCTAAGTTTTTCTATCAAGTGCCTCAAAATTCTTCCTACCTCTGCTCATTACCCAATTCCAAAGCCACTTCCACGTTTTTAGGTATTTATTCCAGTGGCACTAACCTTCTAGTACCAAAATCTGTATTTGTTTGCAAGAGCTGTATTAACAATGTAGTACAAACAGGGCATCTTAAAAGAATGCAGATTTATTCTATCACAGTTCTAGAAGCTAAAAGTCTGAAATCAAGGTATTGGTAGGCAGGGCCATACTCCCGCCATGGACTTAGAAAAGAATCCTTCTCTGCCTCTTTCTAACTTCCGATGCTTGCTGGCAAGCCTTCACATTTCTTGGTTTGCAGCTGTATCATTCGTCTCTGCTTCCATCTTCACCTGGTCTACTCTGTCTTTTCTGTCTCTGTATATCGCCAAATCTTGCTCTCCTTATAAAGACACCAGTCATTGGATTTAGTCCCCTACCCCTTAATCCAGTATGGCCTCATCTTAACTTGATTATATCTGATAAGACCCTATTACCAAATAAGGTTCACACTCATTAGTATCTGGGTTAGGACTTAAGCAAATCTTTTCGGAGGACACAGTTCAACCCGTAACAGCACACATGTAACAAAATTAAATTAGCATACTTCAAATGGAAAGTATGTTTAATGGTAGCCCTCTTTTTTTTTTTTTCTTTCTTTCTCTTTTTTTTTTGAGACAGAGTCTTACTCTGTCACGCTTGAGTACAGTAGCACAATCTTGGCTTGCTGCAACCTCCACCTCCTGGGTTCAAGTAATGCTCATGCCTCAGCCTCCTGGGTAGCTGGGACCTTGGGTGTACACCACTATGCCCAGCTAATTTTTTTGTATTTGTAGAAGAGACAGAGTTTTGCCACATTGCCCAGGCTGATCTCAAACTCATGAGCTCAAACGATCCTCCTGCCTTGGACTTTCAAAATACTGGGATTATATGTCAGCCATAGCACCCAACAATGGTAGCCTTTTTTTGATCCCCTTCCCTCATTACTAGGGCCCTACTAATTTTCACAGTATTACACTTGACACTTCTTATCCCACAGATGGAAAATAAGTAACTTTCTCTTTTTTTTTGGTCCGTTGTTTGGCTCCAAGTTTTCACAATTCTGTACGAAAAAGGTCGTTTTGTGTAAGATACTAGAACCTTTACTTGCTGGCTTAGTTTATTTACACATGACCTACAGACTTGGCTGAACACTCTTTCCTAGCCTGACTGAAATACTATGAGAAATGTTTCAATACTAGAAATAAAATACAGCCTTTAATAAATCACTGAAAATCCGATGTTCCTTTGTGAAAACTTCATGTAATTAATAAGTAAAAAAAAGAAAAACTAAATAAAAAAGAAAAATGTAATCAAGTAGGTTGACAACCAGCAAAAGATAATTAAAATGATCCTGTTTTGTGTCTCGGTTTCATTAACATGTAAATGAGATTCATGAAGTTTGATATTGTGTTTCACCAAGGGCCACAGAAATGAATTAAGAATGAAAATGAGTCTCACTGATGGAGACTCCTGATGAGTATATAAATTAATGAAAAATATGATTTGATCTAATTAATAACATATATTTTTTGTGATGTATTGAACCTCAACAAAAGAAATCAAAATAAATAGGTAAATTAAAATGTTGTGTTCCTTTCACTGGCCCACATTCTGTGAAAGCTTTTATGATTCAAATGAAGTGGTGGTAAATGTCAAACTCTGCTTTATAAACACGCACAGGATGGAAACCTTATTCCAGGATTAGCATTGCAGTAACAACATTGCTGCTGGTGGGTCCATAGGTACAGGGTCTGGAATGGTCATCACAGAGGCTAGGAAAGCCCACTGATTAGTCAGGGATTCAGAATTGCAAAGAGGAAGAGACAGTCCTGTGTGACCAATAACTCTCACAGCAAGTCACTGAAAAGAACAGACTAGTATTATCTACACAAATCTATTCAAGCACCCCCGCAATGTCCCATTTGATAAAAGGATCTCAGTTCTCACTCTCCATTGGTATCTTCACATTCAGAAGCACTCAAAAGTTGTCATCTCCAATAATATGAAATGAAATTTTAAAAACTTAAGCTTAAAATCATGTTAAAGTGTTATATATATCTATACTGTAAGTAGAACTATGTGTAACATACATCAGGTATGTCAGATGGCAAAATACACACACACACACACACACACACACACACACACACACTCTTATCTGTTTGTCATGTCCAAAGTTCAATGTGCTCAAGCATTAAGCACATATTAAGGATAACATCAAGGAGTAAAATTAGAAGTGACTGACTGATGTTGTCACGAGAGGAGGAGGATAATAAATGAAACATGATTTTAATAATGCATGATGTTGTCTACTTTTTATGATTGTTAAAATGTTTGCTGTATTAGTATTGCCAAGCATACTTTCCTCCAATGCACATGCAGATGAATTTTACCTTAGTATGTCATGAAAAGAGATCACAGTGATACTCTGCCTCTAAGTACACAGTGTTTTTGAAATTGTCTTATTTCTACACCAAGGTGCCATTTAATTATCTTTAGTTTCCTTTTAACATATTTAACTGATCAATAATAATTTAACACAAACTAAGAGATGGACGAACTAAGTGTCTCTGTGTGTGTGTGTGTGTGTGTGTGTGAGAGAGAGAGAGAGAGAGAGAGAGAGACAGTGAGAGAGAGAGGGTCTCACTCTGTCACCCAGGATCTAGTTCAGTGGCACAATCATAGGTAACTGAAGTCTCCAACTTCTGGGTTCAATGATCCTCCTGCTACAGCCTCCCAAATAGCTGGGACTACAGGCATGCACCACAGGCTAATTTATTGTTTATTACTTTGTAGAGACAGGTTTTGCTGTATTGCCCAGTCTAGTCTTGAACTCCTGGCCACACGTGATTTTCTCACCTCAGCCTCCCAAAGTGTTGGCACTATAGGCATGAACCACCACACCTGGCTGTGTACTCCTAAAGCACCACAAAAACTTTACTACGTTTCTATTCTTCAACTGTTAAGAAAATCATGTCAACCACATTGAGAATTCAAAACACCGAGGAATTGTTATTTTTAAATAATTAGCATTTTTGAAAATTACTTCTTTAACTTGAAATTGAAGGGCAATTAAGTTTTCATCACTAATATGTCCACAAGGATTGTATATTGTTGTAGAAAATAATATTTTGTAAGCTATATAAAAAGCTTGTCAGATTGAAGGCACTAAATTCTTTTTAATATGTGATGTATCCCTTTCACATTCCAGAACAGAAGCTAGATGTCATATACATCTCATGAGTTTTAACCATTTGCTTATTTAGAAATTTATTTTCTTTTATAATATAGCATTCATAATGATTTTATGCAAAGAGATTGAAAAATTAGTTGGATTTTCTATGGACCAGTCAGGGGAGAAAAGCAGACTTACCGTCTCTTCTATTTAGTCTTGCAAATCCAGGACCATGACTGCTAGAGAGCTCAGAGGAACTGCTGAAGGATGTCTGAGGCAAGGCAGACACAAGAGGATCATCACAATCATCTGCCCAGAGGGAGGAACAATGCAACATTAGGGTTAGTACAGTGCTGATGGCTTTGCTGGAATCAGTAGACAAAACAACTAACAAGTAAAACAACATCCAAAACTAGGATCTAAAATCTCTAAAAATATGCCTACTAATTATAGGGGCTATTCTACTAGAAGGCTAGTAACAATGAGAAAAGAAAAAGAACTTATAGACAAGACAGTATGAAAATATTTTAAAAATCATAAAATTACATAATAATACAATATCTTGAGGTAGAAAAGATTATACCTCATCATAAAAGATTTGCAAATTTAACTGTATAAAAATTTAATACTCAAGGTTTTCAAAAGACACTGCAAATAAATTAAAAAGAAAAATCACAAAATCGAGAAAGGACTTTCAAAACCTATATGCCAGTATACAATTAGTATTCCAAATAAATGAGAATAAAATACAAAATAAAGTAAAACAGAAACCACCTTTAAATCATGAAACACATTAACAAAAATGGCACAAGGCATGATCAGACTTCACAGCACAGCCTGGAGCAGTGGCTCACGCCTGGACTCCCAGCACTTTGGGAGGCTGAGGCCAGTGGATCACTTGAGGTCAGGAGTTCAAGACTAGCCTGGCAAACATGGTGAAACCCCATCTCTACTAGAAATAAAAAATTAGCATGGCGTGATGGCACATGCCTGTAGGCTCAGTTTCTAAGGAGGCTGTGACAGGATAATCACTTCCTCTGAGAGGCAGGGGTTGCAGTGAGCCAAGATCACACTACTGCACTCCAGCTTGGGTGATGGAGTAAGACCCTATATAAATTGATCCTCCAACTTATCAGCAAAAAGAGATGTTAACTTGGACTACAATAGGATGCTAATTTACAGACCTTAGACTAGCAAAATGTAGGCCAAGAGAAGCTCTGTCACATTGCTCCTGGGAGTATAAGTTTGAGCAACTACTTTTATTAAAACAACTTCTCATGAGTTGTATCTTTGCAATTTCCCATACCCTATGTTCCACCAGTTCCTTTCATAAACGTAGGTCCTCCTATGAGGAACCAGTGGTCTCAAGGAGTTTTGTCTTATTACCCAAGGATGATATACAAATACTAGTAATTTTGTGTCCCATGAAAAGAAAAAACTACTGAGACAGAGGAGACTGCATTTGTACACCAGGAGACTTGTACAATTTCTAGCAAAGTTGCTCATCATAGCAAAAAAAAAAAAAAAAAAAAATTATTAACAACGCAGCTATCCAATGGCCAAAGAAGAGACAAATCAAACATAGTGCTTTTCACAATAGGATAATACACACCAGCAAAACAAACAACAACATAAAACAAAATAGTTGGATCTTAGAAGTGACATTTTTGAGAAAAACAAAAATTATAAAATTATACGAAAAATGTTGATAGTTTTGAGAATCTTAAAAAGCAAAGCTAAGTAATACTGTATGTTGTTTAGGGACACATACGAGTTTTTAAAAAAACGTTTTAAAAAAAGAAATGAAAATTATAAAATTCAGGATCATGGTTACCTCGGGAGGAAAGCAGAATCAACATAAAATGTATACAGTTTTGATGATGGAACGCTCTAATTTGGGGGTAGTGTCAAAGCTGTTCCAATCAGTGACTCCATCTTGAATGAGGGCTGGGAAAATGAGGCCGGGACTCCCTGGGCTGTATTTGCAGAAAGTTAGGTATTCTAGCCTCTAGTTGTTTATGGTTAATGGAACAGACTGTTAACTACACAGACCCAGACCTGGGCGTGTCCCGATATCCCAACATCTTGGGAACAAAAGCTGTCCTAACTTTGCTTTAAAGATAATGTTGATTCTTGCAAAATATAGTAATTAAGAAAATACACCTTTATCACAAACCCTTGTAGCAGAGCACACTTCCCCACGACCTTTTATTTGTACCTAGGGTGGACACATTCCTCCTCTCACCTTCAGGACCGCCCGACTCTGTCTATGGAGCAGCTCTGCTTTCACCACTTTACTTTCTTAGTAAATTCGCTTTTGCTTTCGCCCTGAATTCTTTCTTGTGCAAGATGCAAGCACCCTTTCTTGGGGTCTGCACTGGGACCCCTTTCTGGTGCAAGGCTCTCCTATCCAACAACAAGATGGGGTGCAGCAACACCCTGGGATTTTGGGGGAGGGGGTGGAGGGGTTGAGACAGAGTCTCTGTCACCCAGGATGGAATGCAGGGGCGCAATCTCTGCTCACTTCAACCTTCCTCTCCCGGGTTCAAGCGATTCTCCTGTCTCAGCCTCCCGAGTAGCTGAGACTACAGGCGCACGCCACCACACCTGGCTAATTTTTTTTTTTTTTTTTGTAGAGACAGGGTTTCACCAGCTCAGGCAATTTGCCGGCCTCAGCCTCCCTAAGTGCTGGGATTACAGGCTTAATGAGCTTCTGGGCGCAGAGGGGCTGAGGCCTAAAGTGGCGTCAGCCCCAAATGAGGGCAAGGCAGGGCTTTTATAGTCTCCTGCAAATGGGATGTGTCCCAGTCCAATGTCACTGCTGCGCGGTACCGGGATAGCCTCTCTCGATCTCGCGGCCAGCCCTGTTCCGGCTTCGGCTGTCTTGCTGACTCTGGCTAGTGCAAGTGGCCTTGCGCCTTGGGACCCGGCCTGAGGAGGGAGGAGTTAACCCCCAGGCTTTCAGGCCCTGGAGAGAATCTTTCATACAGTAACAGAGGCATATTCCCAGAGGTTTATAATTAGAGTGTTTCATATAAAACATATAATATACACATGCACATACATTTACATATATATCAATATGTACATAAAGATAGACATTAATGTACATACATAGTTATCATTTGCCTACTCTTTTACGTGTATCACATATATTGCTTCTAATATTAAAAGATAAAGCACAGAGTGAGAAACTATAAGATGAATCTCATGTGTACCATGAAATCCATACATGTTTAATTTATGCAGCCAATTCTGCACTCAGTGTCATCTTTAAAGCATTTATCTTTTAATTTCTACTACTTAGTTATTCCTATTTTTGCTCTAATCAGAAAGGCATTTCTCTCCTATTTAGTTTTTAACATATACATTCCGTAATTTAAAATTATACAGGGTTATTGTCCCAAATGTGTTAATAGTAAGCAATTTAAATAAAATAAATAAATCTAAGAATTATCTAGATTCACTCAAAATTTTATTAAGTTTATTTTGCCTGAACCTAATTTGTTCTTGAATGCCTTTCCCAAGAACTTGCCTGAGGCAGCATTTTACTTTTCAAGATTGTCTCATTTTTATTCAAAGTCTACCTTTTCTTATTGTACACCTTAAATTCTTTCGCCATTAAGACAGACAGACATTTCCTGCATGTCTATTGACTAGCTTAAGTACTAACACCAGCCAATCCAGTTGTAATTCAAGAATAAGGAGAGGAGACATAAAAACCCAACACATGGAGTGGGAAAGGAAATTCTGATTATGCCAAATGACAAGCAACAACAAAAATGTTTTAGTATGCTGTGGAAACTGTGGTGTGTATCTTTGCACACACAAGTGAGTGCATTACATATTAGGAAGGAGGGCACATATGTTGGTGTGTGTTTACTAGAACTAATGATTTTTAAAATAATTTTCAGCATACAGGTTTAAGTGTGGTGAAAAGGCTGTTTAATGGCAATTCACAATCAATTAAGTCGATTCAGATCAATGTTTTGGATCTAGTGCCTCTCAGGTGCAGTCACTCTAGAGAGCATATATTTATTGTTCATTTGTTTTTGCCAACTATAAATTAAGAATCAATATTGTTCTACTTTTAGCTTTAAAAGAGTGGAATTAAAACAAAAGAAGGCGTTCTTTTTCCATTTGTGGAGAGAAAGACATGAAATATGGGAAACAGAAGGACGCACAGGGGGCTTGGGATACTTGGTGAAGTTCTGGTTGTTGGCCTTGGTGGTTACATGGCATTATTATTCTTTACCATGAGCATATACTTGCCCCCACAATCTGTTGTATGTTTATTTAATGATGATACATTGTAGGTATTCTTATAGAACTAATAATAACTAAAATACATTTAGAGAGCACTTTAGGGATAGTCCAGCCACACATAGTAATTAATCTTTACCCCTCCTTGTTGATATATTAATGTTATTCTCTTACAGATGAGATCATTGAACATAGAGTTTGATTAATTTGCTCCACTCATTGTGGTAGAACCATGATATTTACGACGAGAGTTGGGGTCCAGAAGATGCTATGTAAGAGCACCGTGACTATAATTATTATTTCTTTAGGTTTGAAGTATAGGAATTTTATCAGACACCATGATGGCATGAATAAATTCTCTCAAAGAGTTGTGTACTCCACTTCCAGGTTTGCCATGCTCTTTGTTTATATCCCATTTGATCTCCAATAGTCTTGACAACAAAGGAGGGGACCCTCAAACAGTGATAATCAGTCTGGAGTAAACATGCTATTTTTCTCTAGATACTAAAAATTTGGAATTCTGGATTAAGCATTAGGGTCCTGAGCTTCATTCCAGACAACCAGTTTTCTCTGACTCCTCCAATAAAACACAGGATCTAGACTTGCAAAGCTAAGGACCACATTCCAGCTCAGAGATTCCCAACCAGAGATAATTTTGCCCCACTGCTCCCCACTTCCAGAAAACATTAGCAATATCTGAAGACATTTTTATCATCACAACTAAGAGAGGATACTTCTGGAACCTGCTGAGTTGAATCCAAGGATGCTATTAAACATTTGATAAAGCACAGGGCAACCTTCCACCACAAAAATGGTCTGGTCTCAAATGTCGATAATGCAAAGGTTGAGAAACACTATTCTAGAACCTGGTAAAGCAACAAAGGAAACTAGTCTTTTCCTGGGGTAATCTCTCAGCTAGAACTCAACAGCTTCCCCTCAAATTGCAATGATTAGCTCTAACTTACAGCTAATTTTTAATTGCAAATAAAGATCATTCAGTGCACATAAGTATATAGGCATTTAGGGGGCTTTGCAAATCAGAAATA